AAAACGTTGATCTACGTTCGTAGTGCTACTCACATCAACATAGATATACGTATGGACAGTTTAACCCGTAAACGGTCCAAAAGTATATATACGTTTTTTCAACATTTGAAAATATGTAAAAAAGTAGATCTTATTTTTGTTTTTTTACATTTGAAAATGTGTAAAAAAACTTTGATCTATTTTTTTTTTGTTATATTTGAAAATATGTAAAAAAAACATAGATCTACTTTTGTAGTACTACACATGTGAACGTAGATCTGCTTGGACCGTTTACGGGTTAAGGGTTAACAATGGAGTTATGTTCCTCAGACCACATCAGTAAATGAATTCGTCGCTATATGAAGAGCATATTATAATGGTAGTGGGTTTGTGTCAACCATTTCTGATATTGTTTAAATGTCACCTCTACACCATTTATAACATTTTCAGTATACAGTGGACCCCCACTGCATGATGGCATCGCGTTACGTTAAATCCGCCATACGATACATTTGAACGCAAAAATTTTGCCTCGCCTCACCCTAAAAAACTCGCCTCATGCGATTCGTCTCAGGACGCGTCCCACGCGTGGCCTCAACTGCCCCGTGGGTGCCAGTGTTTACAAGCCAGCCAGTGCAGTCACATCCACGCATACATTCGGTACATTTCATATTATCACAGTGTTTTTAATGATTGTGGCTGCAAAATAAGTCCCATGGGCCCCAAGAAAGCTTCTAGTGCCAACCCTGCAGTAAAAAGGGTGAAAATTACTATGGAAATGAAGAAAGAGATAATTGCTAAGTACGAAAGAGGAGTGCATGTCTCGGACCAAACCCCAATCAACTATCGCTACTATCGTGGCCAACAAAACGACAATCAAGGAAGCTGTTCTTGCAAAAGGTGCAAGTTTGTTTTCGAAACAGAGATCGCAAGCACTCGAAGATGTTGAGAGACTGTTATTGGTGTGGATAAACGAAAAACAGATAGCAGGAGACAGCATCTCTCAAGCGATCATATGTGAAAAGGCTAGGAAGATGCATGACGATTTAATTAGAAAAATGTCTGCAACTAGTGGTGATGTGAGTGACTTTAGGGCCAGCAAAGGTTGGTTTGAGAGATTTAAGAACCATAATGGTGTACATAGTGTGATAAGGCATGGCGAGGCTGCCAGTTCGGACCAAAAAGCGGCTGAAAAATATGTGAAGGAATTCAAGGAGTACATAGACAGTGAAGGACTGAAACCTGAACAAGTGTTTAATTGTGACAAAACAGGCCTGTTTTGGAAGAAAATGCCAAACAGGACCTACATTACTCAGGAGGAAAAGGCACTTCCAGGACATAAGCCTATGAAAGACAGGCTTACTCTCTTGATGTGTGCTAATGCTAGTGGTGATTGCAAAGTGAAGCCTTTATTGGTGTATCACTCTGAAACTCCCAGAGCATTCAGGCAAAACAATGTCCTCAAGGCTAATTTGTGTGTGCTGTGGAGGGCAAACACTAAGGCATGGGTCACTAAGGACTTTTCCTATGACTGATTACACCATGCATTTGCCCCCACCGTGAAAAATTACCTCCTGGAAAATAAATTGGACTTTAAGTGCCTCCTGGTATTAGACAATGCTCCTGGTCATCCTTCAGACTTGGCAGAGCGACTTTCTAGGGACATGAGCTTCATTAAGGTCAAGTTTTTGCCTCCTAATACCACTCCTCTCCTGCAGTCCATGGAGCAGCAGGTCATTTCAAACTTCAAAAAACTCTACACAAAAGCTCTTTCGAAAGTGCTTTGAAGTGACCTCAGACACTCGATTGACTCGAAGAGAGTTTTGGAAAGATCACTTTAGTATCCTTAGTTGTGTAAACCTTATAGGTAAAGCTTGGGAGGGAGTGACTAAGAGGACCTTGAACTCTGCTTGGAAGAAACTGTGGCCAGAATGTGTACACGAGAGGGATTTTGAAGGGTTTGGGGCTAACCCTGAGAAGCCTATGGAGGCTAGTGGGGAGGATGTGGAAGAGTTGGTGGAGGACGACAATGAAGAACTAACCACTGATGAGCTGCAAGAGCATCTGCAACAGCAAGAGGTCACAAATGAGGAAACTGCTTCAATGGAGGGGAGACAGAAATGGAGGAAGTTGCCTTCTTCAACGATTAAGGAAATTTGTACAATGTGGACAAAGGTGCAAACCTTTATGGATGAAAATCACCCTGACACAGCTATTGCAAGATGTGCTGGTGACTTTTACAATGACAATGTTGTGGCCCATTTTAGGAAAATCTTAGAGGAACGCGAGACACAGAGCTCTATGGACAGATTTTCAATTCAATTCAATTCAAAGTTTATTCTATATAAGGATTACAATGCTGAGTTTACAGAATTTGGTTATTGTGTGGTTTACATGTAGTAAAATAATAATTACAGAGTGTACCACTAGAACACCTAGCATGGCTAGGCATTTCGGGCAGACTTAGATTAATTCTTAAATTTAAAATATTACAAATTATGAGTTAAGTTGGTATTATGGCTAAGTGACTAAATACTAGTTTGTGAGTTTAGCAATGTGAATGCTTTTGTTTTGGCACAGTACATAGTTTCAGTATTGGACAATGCGACAGAGGTCCAGTGACTCTCAAGTTATTCCCAGTGGAATTAAAAAAAGAAGGGAAGTAACCCTGGAAAAAGACTGGGTACCTAAAGTCCTTATAGAAGGGGATTCCCCTTCCAAACAATAATACACCTCCATCTCCCCTCCTCCCATCTCATCACTCATCACTACATCTTCAATAAAAGTAAGTGTCACCTAGTCTTCATTTAGTACAGTATTTATTGTGCATGTATCCTTGTTTTCCTATGTAGGAAAATGTATATTTCATGTGAAATTTTTTTTTTTCATATTTTTGGGTGTCTGGAACGGATTAATTGGATTTCCATTATTTCTTATGGAGAAAATTAATTTGACTAACGATAAATTCACCTAAGGATAAGCTCTCTGGAACGGATTAATATCGTTGGTCGAGGGTCCACTGTATTTCACTATGGACAAATTAAATAAATATTTGTGTTTTTTCTCTCTTCTCTCATGCCTATTTTATTTTACTACTACACTATATACATTTTAATATATGTAGGGTACTTTCACCTTATGTCTGTGGGGAGAGGTGGGCATCTAGTGATCACATTCTACAAGAGACAATGAAAGCCTTGAAAGTCTTGCAAGTGAATTGTCACTGGTAGATGCAGCACTCATGCCATCAAGGTTTGCATGGTGATTGGTTGATCCTGCCACTAGCAGCAGGAGACAGATGGTGTGGTGTAAGAAGCTACAATTATCTTGTGCCTTGCAATAAGTATTCTAGTTTTCCTGGTCTCATTTTATAGAATGGAAGACATATTACAGAAATTGAGATGATTTTGATTTGTTTCACAATGAAAAGTACCTTGAAATTGAGCTCAAAGTAGCAGAAATGTTCGAATTTTGCTAAAGTTCAAAAGTAAACAATCATGTCACGTGTCCAATACATGTCAACTGGTGAGTCTAATATTCTTTCACAAGTGCGCTGATATTATTTATACCATTTCTACACTAATGCAGCAGTCTGCATAACAGTAAATCTTCTATTTTTTGTGAGAATAAAAATTCAAAGTGAAAAGCAAAAGAAATGTAAGAGGGGCCTGGGATGTGACTAATGAACAGAGGAAATGTTATTTTAGTGCCAGGAATGTCTTTCTTGTTTATTCTGGACCCTATTTGGAAATTGGCATCTTTTGAAATTTGTGTGAAACGGGCAAAATTGGTAATTTCTGACCACTTTATTGGATAGTTGAAATTGGTAAATGGGTGGTTTCTTGTACTCACTCGATGGAAAAAATGGAATTCTAGCAAAATAGTTATGAGTTGTCGACTAGTACACTGGAATTGGTCGAAAATAGGGCTCAAAGTGGGCGAAATCGCCGATGTGTAAACATCATCGAGACTGCTAACTTCCCGAGAGCATAATTCTGTAAGTTTTCCATCAAATTTCATACTTTTGGTGTCATTATGATCAGAAAAAGATTCTCTATCTTTTCATGAGAAAGTTTTTTTTTCTAAAAAATTTTCGACCCTGAGAGCAAGTTTAGGAGAGGGCCTCTCGACCCTGAAAGGGTTAAGGGCCATAGTAATTGCATGTGGCCTCTGCCTCCACTACATAATAATCACTACAATTTTCTCAATTAATAATATGCTTTTAACATACTGACTGTCTCTCACTGAGACAGGGCGACCTAAAGAAAAGACGAAAACACTTTCACCACTACTCACTCCATCACTTTCTTGTCCAAGACTTTCTGATACTACAGTTCAGATGCACCACTACATTCTAAATATCTCCACCCCTCTTTTAGAGTGCAGGCACTGCACTTCCTACCTCCAGGACTCAAGTCTGGATAACTAGTTTCTTTGAGTCACTTCAAAAATGTTATTCCTGCTCACACTCGAACAGCACATCAAATAGATAAAAACCACTTGCCTCCACTCACTCCTATCTAATACACTCAAATAAGCCTGCTGGATATCCAATTTCCCCCCAGCATTCAAAACCACCTTTCTCCTATCTCTCCAACATTTCCTAAGGTGACCCCTTCCCTCTACCCCAGATTTATATGCCCTCCTAGTCATCCTATTTTGCTCAATCCTATCTGTCCAAACCATCTCAACCCCTCTGAACAATACTTTTGGTAATCCCACACCTCCTAATCTCCAAGCTTTGAATTCTCTGCATATTCATAAAACACACTGCTCCCAAACACGACATCTCCACTGCCACTAGCCTTCTCCTCGCTGCAATGTTCAAAACCCATGTTATGGGTGCACAGGAAAATGGGTTCTAAGTTCCAAACACTTGACTAGAGAAAGATTTTCAAGAGAGCATTATTTTCAAAGTGCGTGACCTACTGTAAATTTCACCTTTATTATAAAATACTGTCCATATTGTGTCCATAACTTATTATATAGTTTTTACTGCTGTTGTAAACTGAAGACATTACCTGAGCAAGAAGCTCTAAGATGGGAGCAAAGAGTGGCCGCACAGGAGGCTTGAAGCTAAACCCAAAAAGAGCATCCACCACTAAATGATAGTTTCTGAAAATGATACAACACAGTTTCAGTTTTTACAATGTTTCTCTCCAAAATTAAAGCACTTCCCTGTACTAGTCATAAATGAGACAGGAAAGTACTTTATTCTTTGATTGGAATAGTGCAGATGCAGTTTAATGTGAACAATTGTAAGGTTTTAGTTATAATAATTATACATAGAGAAAATAAGCAGAGCACCTATAAATTAAACAATATGGATCATAGTGAAACCAAATGTAAAGAAGGCCTAGCAGTTCTGTTCAGCAGAAACTAAAGCCAAGAAACAGTACATAAACAATATAGTCCACTTTTTGCATCCAACTCAACAAAATGAAACAGACTTCTTGGCTTCCTATCAAGAACTCTAAATAATAAGTCCCAAGGTTATACAACAATACCTTGCAGAGTATGGTTCTGAACATTATGGGTTCTGATATATGGTTTATAAATTTAATACTATAAATTTTAAATGGCATTACACACTGATATTGGACTCCTGCTATGTACTGGACTAGTGCAATGTGAACATCAGTATTGCTCCAGACTCTGAGCAGTGAAGTTGCGTTGTCTTATACAATACATAAGCACAGTCTCTCCTCATTTAACAACCGCTTGGACTTACGACCAACTTTCTGACCTGTATGCATACCTAAATAATGTATATTAGAGCTGCTTTCCTCTATTCTGTTATTACATTTCAATATACAGTGGAATCTCCACTGTATAAAGAAATTAGATTGAATAAAAATGACCCAAAATGGATGAATAATAGGCTCAAATATCTTTTAGGGCAGAAGAAAGGAATTTATAGGAGCATCAAAAGAGGTGAGGGTCATCTTATGAATCAGTATATTGACATTAAGAGGGACGTTAACAAGGGGATAAGAAAAGCTAAACGAGAGTATGAAATTAAAGTTGCTAGCGATTCAAAAACTAACCCAAAAAGTTTTTTCCAGGTGTACAGAACAAAAGTTAGAGATAAGATAGGTCTCCTTAAAAATAACGATGGGCATCTTACTGACAAAGAGAATGAAATGTGCTTGATTTTAAATAATGATTTTCTCTTGGTTTTTACACAGGAAGACACTAACAATATCACAGTAATTAATTTTTATAGTGGGCCAGAAGGAGATAAATTATATAACATCACAGTCACTAGTGAAATGGTTATGAAACAAACAGACTGACTGAAACAAAATAAATCACCGGGTCTTGATGAGCTTTTTTCAAGGGTTCTTAAGGAATGCAAAATGGAACCTTGTGAACCATTAACTAATATTTTTAATTTATCTCTTCAAACAGGTGGTGTCTGATATGTGGAAGATGGCTAATGTAATTCCTATTTTTAAAGCAGGAGACAAGTCATTACTGTCAAATTACCGCCCGATAAGCCAAACCTCAATTGTATGCAAATTGCTAGAGTCAATTGTAGCTGAGATTATAAGAAGCCATCTGGATAAGCATAATCTGATTAATAATACTCAGCATGGATTCACGAGAGGCCGTTCTTGTCTAACTAATTTATTAACTTTCTTCAGTAAAGCTTTTGAGGCTGTTGATCATGATAAAGAATTTGATATTGTTTATTTAGATTTTAGTAAGGCTTTTGATAGAGTATCGCACCAAAGACTGTTAAGGAAAGTGGCAGCTCACGGCACTGGGGGAAAAGTGCGCTCATGGATCGAGTCATGGCTCATAGACAGGAAGCAGAGCGTGTGCATAAATGGGGTTAACCCTTTGAGGGTTTTGGTCGTACTAGTACATCTTACGCGTAGGGGTTTTTGACGTACTAGTACGCATAAATTCTAGCGGCCTCAAATCTCGCAGGAAAAGGCTGATAAGCCTAGATGTGAGAGAATGGGTCTGTGTGGTGGGTGTGTGAAGTAGGAAAAAAATCTGGGACCCAGTGGTGCATTGTGGGAATGCCATCATAGTACACAATTTCCACCGTGCCCTGTGGTAAGAAGTTCCTCACTCCTTGGCGAATTGGGACACTTTTGTTCCCCAGTGACAGTTCTAATACAGGTGGAAGTGACAGTGAAGATGAGTTTCAAGGTTCTGGTGAGGTTTTGACCGAAACTAATGACCATAATATGGGTAATAGTGAGGAAAACCCAGACAACCCACAGCCTTCCACCTCTGGTGCTGGGCCGTCTTGTTCACGTTCAGTTGTACCAGAATCAAAGAGGAAACCCTATTTCCAAAATCCCAGACTCAGATGTGAGCATTGGTGATGATAGTGATAGTGATTATGAACTACAAGCTCTTCAAACTTGTTCCAGAATGGAGGAGGAGGAGGGGAGGCAAGAGGAGGAGAGGCAGAGGAGGGGGAGCAAGGAGGAGGAGGAGGAGAGGCAGAGGAGGAGGAGGAGGAGGAGGCAGAGGAGGAGGAGGAGGAGGAGGCAGAGGAGGAGGAGGAGGAGGAGGAGGAGGCAGAGGAGGAGGAGGAGGAGGAGGCAGAGGAGGAGGAGGAGGAGGAGGAGGAGGAGGAGGAGGAGGAAGGAGGAGGAGGAAGGAGGGAAGAGGAGGAGGAGAGGAGGAGGAGGGAGAGGAGGAGGAGGAGGAGGAGGAGGAGGAGGAGAGGAAGAGGAGGAGGAAGAGGAGGAGGAAGAGGAGGAGGAAGAGGAGGAGGAAGAGGAGGAGAGGAAGAGGAGGAGGAAGAGGAGGAGGAGGAGGAGGAGGAGGAGAGGAGGAGGAAGAGGAGGGAGGAGGAGGAGGAGAAGGAGGAGGAAGAGGAGGAGGAAGAGGAGGAGGAAGAGGAGGAGGAAGAGGAGGAGGAAGAGGAGGAGGAAGAAGGAGGAGGAAGAGGAGGAGGAAGAGGAAGAAGAGGAAGAAGAAGAGGAGGAGGAGGAGGAGGAAGAAGAAGAATACGTAATGATAACAATAATACATAATAATAATAATACATAATAATGATAATACATAATAATAATACATAATAATAATAGGTAATAATAATAATAATAATAATAATATGTAATAATAAATGTTCACCCATGACAGTAACAAGATAAGGGGAGATAACATCTGATAAGTGCTGACGTTTGATGAGGGTAGAGCTGATGCCAAAAGATGAGATGAACATCGCCCTCCCTTTGTTTTTGCTGGTATACTAACATTTCTGTCTGTCTATTTGCCTGTCTGTCAAGCTCCCTGTCTATCCATCTAGCTCTCTGTCTCAGAGAGCCACAAGACTGCGTCATCACTTTTACTCACATCTTCAAGCAGAGTATAGCACTTTGTCTGGGTTTCTTGGGTTATCCTAGGTAATTTATACTATGTATACTTGTATTTATGTGTACCTGTGAGACAGAGATAAACAGACAGATAGAATGAGGGAGAAAGATAATTAGATAGAATGGAGGAAGGGAAGCAGCATCCGACCCCATTGTTTTGACAGGCGGGAGGGGGAGTGAGTAATGAGACAATATGTCATTTTGACAGCTGCCGACTCCTGGTAATTTACACTATGGAGGTGGAGGAGGAGGAGGAGAAGGAGGAGGAAGAGTAGGGGGAAGAGGAAGAAGAGGAGGAGGAGGAAGAGGAGGAGGAGGAAGAGGAAGAGTAGGAGGAAGAGGAGGAGGAAGAGGAATAGTAGGAGGAAGATTAGGGGGAAGAGGAGGAAGAGGAAGAAGAGGAGGAAGAGGAAGAAGAGGAGGAGGAGGAAGAGTAGGAGGAAGAGGAAGAAGAGGAGGAGGAGGAAGAGGAGGAGGAAGAGGAAGAGTAGGAGGAAGAGGAAGAGGAGGAAGAGGAAGAGTATGAGGAAGAGTAGGGGGAAGAGGAGGAAGAGTAGGGGGAAGAGGAGGAAGAGGAAGAAGAGGAGGAGGAGGGTGGAACACTAGTACACTGGTACTGGTACACTAACATTTCTGTCTGTCTATTTGTCTGTCTGTCAAGCTCCCTGTCTATCTGTCTATCCATCTAGCTCTCTGTCTCAGAGAGCCACAAGACTGTGTCATCACTTTTACTCACATCTTCAAGCAGAGTATAGCACATTGTCTGGATTTCTTGGGTTATCCTAGGTAATTTATTACTATGTATACTTGTATTTATGTGTACCTGTGAGACAGAGATAGACAGAGAGAGAGAGAGAGAGAGAGACAGACTGAAAGAGATAGAATGAGGGAGAAAGATAAAACACCATTGTGTATGACACCATGTTTCAGAGTTCCACAAGCTGCAGAACTAATAGGAATATGTTCAGTGACTGTATATTGGTATATATATTATGAACAATAATAATAAACAATGTTTTGTATTGTTTGTTTTTGTAAACAAGTTTTGTAAACAATATATTGATAATTATGTTTGTGTGCTTATTGTGTTGTATACAACGAGTGTATATATGTACATTGCACCTTACTTTGGTCTCATAGGCCACATAAGTTAAGTGAAAAAATAAAATAGTGAAAAAAACAACAAACCTTCAAATACAAGTAAACTAAAGTTTACCGGGTGAGCGGCAGTCGCCGCTGTTGCCATACGCGGCTCATTTTCTGCAAACTTCATGCATCCATATCTCCGTAAGTATTGATGGTAAATTTTTTTTGTTTATCCTATAATGTTTAGAAAAAAAACTATTTTTTCATAAGAAAAAATATTTTTTTTTTTTTGAAATTTGGCCGACCCTTAGAACGAGTTTTGGAGAGGGCCTGTCGACCCTCAAAGGGTTAAATCTGAGTGGGGATCTGTAACAAGTGGCGTTCCACAGGGATCAGTCTTGGGCCCGTTGTTGTTTATAATATATATCAATGATCTTGATGAGGGAATTACAAGTGATATGAGCAATTCGCCAATGACACAAAGATAGGTAGGATAATTGACTCAAACGAAGATATTAGGAACTTCAGGAGGCTTTACACAAACTCAGTACCTGGTCAGAAAAGTGGCAGATGCAGTTCAATGTAGATAAATGCAAGGTTCTGAAGCTCGGGAGTGTCCATAACCCTAGAACTTGCAAGTTAAAAAATGTAGAACTTAGCCATACAGATTGCAAAAAGGACTTG